TACACTTTGTAGTATGATATTATTTCAGTAGTTTCTAAATCTTCCCCTACACTTGTAAGCTCAGTGATAGCAAAATGTTACTTGCTGCTTTATTTCCATCTTCAGGCACATTGTAAACAGTCAAGAATAATTTGAGGAAGAGAGAGAGGAAAAAAATTAAGGAAGTGGAAGCAAGCAACCTTTTATCTAATGCGGAAAAGATCTCTACGTTGGGAGTTTTAACTTTTCTATTCTACTACGGGTATTTCGTAAAACTACACTCACTTTAAGGGCAGGAATCATTGTGAAAAAACGTATTTTTTTCTCTGTTAAAAAGAGAATATTAGCAGAATATATTCACGTTGTAAGAATTTTGTTNTTTAAAATGGCTGAGGTACTTTCCCAAAATGGCTGGCGGCCCGGGCGTAGCCCAACAAATTGGGAACACGATCTCTGAATCAAGGAATATTGTCAGACCCCAAGTGATGACACACTACATAATGACTGAGGGATCAACAATGCATACACTTCCTGTAGCAGAAGAGGGCATCTAGAGTGTGCATCACTCAAGATATTAGACTTCAGTGTATATTCTTCTTTGAGAACAAAGTCAGATTTATCTCTGTGAAACATTCAAAATGTGAAATCAAAAAAGAGAAGGCAGCGCAGTGTTGAACTGATACACAGAACTGTTCTTTTTCCAGTCTTTGCATAAAGGAGAATACTGTGAATTTGATTATATTATTAACACTACTAATTCCAAGTACTTAAAGTCTGTCTCAATATATAGCTAATCAAAAAGTACAAACTAGTATAGGCCTCTTACACAGGGTTGTGGAACAGGACAGAGAAGCCATGGAGAAAAGACTTGTTCATAGTTAAAGCTTTCTAATCGCTCCTACAAAATTATCTCTCCCCACCCATCCCTAAATTTATTATCCCAGGGTGCACTTTATTAATATCTACCAAGTTTGTCTTTTGTATTTTCTTGTGTGTGCATAGCCAAATGATAGTGTGCTAGAGCTGGCTAATACTGGCTCACAGAAACTGATAGTGTGCATCTCTCTCCATCTTCATGTTCAGTAACATCATAATAGCAGTTGAAATTGGTAATGGAAGCAGTTATCTCCAACCTGTAAGTCAGCAAACACTACAAATCAAGGATTTTTACTCCTTACCCCCAACACCCACAATGAGCAGGCTGTTAAATATTTATCAACAACCCACTGCACTCAATAGTGTGTATACTCACTGTGCTATGGGTCACACGATTTGCCAAAAACGGGATAAAACAGTGAACCAAAATGGACATAGTCCTTGTCCTCATAGATCTTAATGGTCTTCTGGAGTTGCCTCATTCTTACCTTATTTCTCACCTCCACTTACACATGTTCTAACCGTTCTTTAAAGCATCTCTATTTTACATGATACAAGTGTCTCCCTTAGCTAAACTTTTATTTCACTTATCAAAGTAACAAATTTAGCAAATAAGAAAAATCTAAATTGTTTACCATGTATCATCTTCTCAACTATATTTCAGGCTACTTCAGAGCAGAAAGTTTAACACTTTTTTGCAGGGTTTACTTAGCATGATGCATAATGTGGGAGGCATGAGCAGGAAAGTAGGAAACACTCAACATTTTGGAATTGAGAGGAATGCTTTTAAAATTTAAAGAGAATGGCATTGTTCATGAATTTTCCACAGGCTCTCCTCTAATATTTGCATGGCTAGGAAAAGGAGAATAAGTGGAGGATCACAGGAAAGCCCTTCCCCTTCTCTTCCCTTTCTCTGACTCTGTCCTGCAAATGTCACGAGCCTCAAGCGTGACTGTAGTACGGTGACCGACCCTCCACTTTTGTCTGATACTGAGGGGTTTTGCAGGACCCAGGACTTCGATGTTAAAACTTGTATAGTACCAGGCAAACCAGAATTGCACAATCTTTGGATTAAAGAAAGAGGCCCTGATAGTGACAGAGCATCTTCTGGCCAGAGAATTCTAGGGTTTTGGCAATCCTAGACAGGAGGGAGTGAGTCTAGGTAGGTGGGAGTCTAGACTGGTGCGAGTGAGCACATGATAGCACATGAACTCTCATTGGGCATCTCCTTTAACCTAACAGAATCCTCTCCTCAAGGCACTTTGACAGATTCTGGGCACATAGTAGTAAAAAAGAGATACATTTTTATAATGCAAAGTGTATTAACATATGTTCTAGTTATCGTGTCTTTTTGGCAGTTTGGTAAAGCTTTTCTCTCTGATCTCTTTGCATCCATTTTTTGGCCTGTTCTAGTCTATTCGCCATACTATAACCAGAGTGATAAAATCTGTATAAAGCTCTTCAGTAGCCTTGCATTAAAAACCAGGATCCCTAACTTGGAAAAAATGAGCCCTGTGTGATATGCAAGTTCCGTCTCACATATACACACACTCTGGACTCACGTTATGCCACTCGCCCTCTCATTCACAGTCACACCGACTTTACGTCAGTTTCATAAATGCTCCATGTTTCTGCCTGTGTCAGGGGCTTTGCATACGCCATGTGCCATGGTCATTAAATATAATCTCTTTTCCGATTAAAGTCTTCCCTGTCCATTCCTCAATCTAGATCAGGGCCTCACCCCCAGCCTTATCCAAGGCTCTCAGGGTTTACCTCGCTTTTCCTTTTTGGTTCATCTTACACTTTGTAGTATGATATTATTTCAGTAGTTTCTAAATCTTCCCCTACACTTGTAAGCTCAGTGATAGCAAAATGTTACTTGCTGCTTTATCTCCATCTTCAGGCACATTGTAAACAGTCAAGAATAATTTGAGGAAGAGAGAGAGGAAAAAAATTAAGGAAGCAGAAGCAAGCAACCTTTTATCTAATGCGGAAAAGATCTCTACGTTGGGAGTTTTAACTTTTCTATCCTACTACGGGTATTTCGTAAAACCACACTCACTTTAAGGGCAGGAATCATTGTGAAAAAACGTATTTTTTTTCTCTGTTAAAAAGAGAATATTAGCAGAATATATTCACGTTGTAAGAATTTTGTT